AGCCATTCAGTTTTTTTCTAACTTTGAAGTTTTACACTGTGTCCATGTTCCAATTTGGAGTAGTTTAGACGGTTGGTTATTGAAACTTCCCCACAAACACATACTATTTATTAAAGAATACACCCTTGGGTAATTCAAAAGGCATATTTTGAACCTTAGCGTGGGATCATTTTTTCTCTAGTTTGTTCCAGGTATAGTGGTAATGAGCATTTTTAAATGTATTTTTTTACTTTTGAAAACTTTTTACTTTTTAAAACTAGTTTTTAAACTTTTTTTTGCTTATTAATTTTTTGAAACTTTCCTTAACTTTCTTAAAACGTTTTTTTTTTTACAGATTTAACATTTTTCTGTTTCTTTTTTTACCGTTAACCCCTAACTAGCAGTACGCTAGCAGTAACAGTAAATTTCATTTTCCCATACCCCAATTCCACCCCAGCTAGCAAAATATATAGTTATAAAATATTTAAATTAATTAAATAAATTGAACCCCTGAGGGTTAAAAAAATAAATAAAAGTTAATCCACAGGGGTTAAAAAATTAGATCACAGTATAATACTGTGATCTCTATTTGATCGCTGTAGGCAGTGATCGACTGGCAGGGAAGGGGTTAATTTTTATTTGGACTAGGTAAAGTGTGTTTTTTTAGTTTTTTTTACTTAAATGTTATTAAAACATTTTTTTAAGCTTAATTTTTAACTTTTTAAAGTTTCTTTTAAAACTTTTTTTTAACGTTAACCCCTAGTTAGCCTAACGCCAAATCCCCCAATTCCCCACTAACTTCCACCTACCCCAGCTAGCTAAATATATAAGTAAAACATAATTTAATTAATTAATTTAATTAATTTAACCCCTGAGGGTTAAAAAAAAAAAGAATTAACCCTCAGGGGTTAAAAAAAAAATCAGATCATAGTAAAATGTAATCCCTGCCAAATGATCACTGTAGTCAGTGATCAATTGGCAGGGAAGGGGTTAATTTTTTATTAAAATGGGTAAGGGGGGGGGGACTTTAAATAAACTTTATTTTTTTTTACAGCAGGGGGCAGGATCACCACTGATCCGGCTCCCTGCACTTCACACAGAACCCGGAAGTGCAGGGAGCCGGTAGGTGAGTATAGAGAGCACACATGTGTCAGCTTCAGACTTGGCGGTCAGATGCAGCACATGTGCTGGGCAGATTGATCGGTGTTCTCCCGCATGCCTCTAATGCAGAGGCATACCGGAGTTAATTATTAACCTTCGCTGACGCCGCTGAGAAGGGCGCATCCGGGTTAATTTATCATGCGGACGGACGGTCCACACCCGCCGTTAAGGGTTCCTCTGTGACGGACCCCACCCGGCCCTGAAGGGGTTAAGGGTTAAGTGTCACAAAGATTAAATATTTTGTTTTTCAGTTTAACTCATGGATGGCATTGTGTCTCTTTTGATCACTGAAAACAATCTCGGACACCTGTGATAATTAGATTGCCAGGTGAGCCCAATTTAAGGAAAAACTACTAAAGGAGGGTGTTCCACATTATTAAGCAGAGCACCATTTTCATGCAATATGGGGAAGAAAAAGGATCTCTCTGCTGCCGAAAAGATATTTCACGAAAACTTAAGCGTGATTTTCGCACTAGTAAGAGATTTGTGGCTGATTCAGAGTACAGATGGGTTCGTGCAGATAAAGGCACATCGAGGAAGATTTCTGCCAGATTCATGCATAGCAGCAAACAGATATTTGAAGCTGCTGGTGCCTCTGGAGTCTCACGGACATCAAGGTGTAGAGTCCTCCAGAGTCTTGCATCTGTGCATAAACCTTCTATTCGGCCACCACTAACCAATGCTCACAAGCAGAAACGTCTGCATTGGGCAGAAAAATACATGAAGACTAATTTTTAAACAGTCCTGTTCACTGATGAGTGCCGTGCAACCCTGGATGGTCCAAATGGATGGAGTAGTGCTTGGTTGGTGGATGGCCACCCTGTTCCAACAAGGCTGCGACATCAGCAAGGCGGTGGTGGAGTCATGTTTTGGGCCGGAATCATGGGAAGAGAGCTGGTCGGTGCCTTTATGGTCCCCGAAGGTGTAAAGATGACCTCTGCAAAGTATCTGGAGTTTCTGACTGACCACTTTCTTCCCTGGTACTTTCCGTAATAAAATCATCTTCATGCATGACAATGCACCATCTCATGCGCAAAGAATACCTCTGCATCAATGGCTGCTATGGGGATAAAAGGAGAGAAAGTCATGGTGTGGCCTCCATCCTCCCCTGACCTCAATCCTATGGAGAACCTTTGGAGCATCCTCAAGCAAAAGAGCTATGAGGGTGGGAGGCAGTTTACATTCAAACAGCAGCTCTGGGAGGCTATTCTGACATCTTGCAAACAAATTCAAGCAGAAATACAAAGAAAGGTGTAGCGCTACATACATATGCTAGGTTCTGCTGAGCCAGACCAGAGAATACTCATCCCAATAACAATTGCACAGTGAATATATTTTTCGGAATACACCTATAAAATAAATTAAAACTTCCAATAGTGTGATACTGTTTATTATTACATATTATTATATAAATATCAGACAATACATTCACATTCTCCTGAGCTTAACACCAAGCTCAGGAATAAGCGCTTGTAGGTCCGTAGAGGCGACCTTCCCCTTCTTCTGGTTGGGTGGTCTTGTGCAGTATCCTCTAGGACTTAAATAAAACGAATATATGGTGCAATATTTTAGATCACCAATAATCCTATGTAATCTAGTAAGCAATATACTCACAAAATTGGAGCCACTACTTTCAGCTCTGTCACAGCACGTTGTGTAATAGTGATGAAAACTTTATTTTTCATATAATGATAATATTAAATTAGTTTTAAAAAAATGTCCCATATTGGGATGATAATATAAATCAATAAAAATAAATATAAAATTGAAAATACTTAATGACATATATTGTGGGCATAAGGTAATCACTAAAAAGTTCCCAGAACGCATTTCACCGTAATCCCGACGGCTTCCTCAGCTGGGTCAGATATGTTCCTCCAACTTCCTGGAGTCCTGCTTTTATATCCCTTCCTGGTGCTGTTTAATCAACCTGTTTTCGCGCCAATTCTCCGGTAATTTCAGCGGGTCACTAATTGTGTTCCAAGTCTCTTTTTCATGCGCTTGTTATTTCCGCATGTGACGTCACTCACGGTAGTCACCTGTATCCTTATTGTCCATGTTGTCATTCTCGTATGAATGCCATACCGAATTATACATACATAGAGAGCAAATATAAACGGAATAGGGGTAGAAAAAAAGGAATATCAAAAATCAAATATAAAATGTGGAATTCCAAAAGACGAAGAAATTCGATACAAGAGGAAGAAGAGGAGGTAAATCAATCAAAAAAAGACAGGAGAGAAAAGAAATAAAATCTTTTGCAAAGGAACTAATACATAATGTGAATATTAAGGAAATGGGGATTTATAATTTAAGTACCGTTAAGGATCAAGTGAATATTCTGAGTAAAGGGTTAAAATTTGCCCGAAGCAAACATCAAAATCATTTGGATTTTTATGTCGATTTGAATAAGTTTAAAAGAAATTTATGTTTGCAAATTTTCTTTTTAAAGAACCCTGTAGAAAGACAATTACAAATGGAAAGTGAATTTATTCATACGGATCTTAGGAAGAAATCTAGTTTCTTCCCCAAACAAATGATTTCGGATAGTGTTGTGGTCGTGACCTAAATATGAATATTAATCTCTTAATACATAATAATTAAGCAATACAGAACAACATTAATATTTTTATAATTCATGGTATTATGGTCGAATATGTGGATAGAAAATACACAAAACGTTGTAATATTAAATGTATATGTTATATAACTATAATAAATAAACAGATGCTAGCAGAATGTCAATTTACTACAATAATTATACAATACAATACTACAACAAAAGGTTTCTAAATGTTACACAAAAGGCTATTACAGTTGCTATATGTTACAATGGATTCATATTACTTACAAGGCCCCAGCCAAAGGGCTGGGGCTAAGTCAGAGCTGGTGCTACATGATCAGTCAGGTACAGGCAAACAGAGAGCTAGCTTCTCCTCACATCTGGGTTTTTATTCAGTGTAAGTAGGCTGGCCTGTGATGTCACTGCCAGAAGCACAGGTCTTCCTACACACTCCCCCTAATGGTGCCCCCAAAGCATTACACTAAATATGCTTTACTGACATCTAGTGGTGTGTCTAAAGCATTAAGCTCATTATGCTTTTTTTATGACAAAAAGTCATTAATTAATAAATACCATTACAAACCACCCTTTGACTTATGTCATAAAACAAACATTATAAACCCGTACATCTTGAATCTACCCTATTTTAACAGTACCTGCCCTACAACAAACCCACCTTTTTAAGAATGATACCCATTTACCCGTAAAGTTATGACACTTTATTGCTTATTCAATTTTGTTTTGTTTTTTTCATTGAGCACATGCATCACCAGTTGGCAATAACCACTGAGCACATGCATTAGCAGTTGGGAAACCTTGGCCTTAAATAGGCAAATACCCACCCTTGTAATAATAGACAACTCAAACCATGTTTTATTAGATTAACCAATGATATTGTGTTCATGTGAGGATGTGTTTTGGAGCTTAATATAGTATTAGACACCACAAACTCATAACACCTATGAATCATGTCACAGACCGACTCGATTTCTGTAGCCTCTGGCTGGTCTGTGTGCCTGGAATTTTCACAAACATTAGTGCTGGAAACTGGATACTCTATTCTTCGACAGTCTCATAGAACATACGCATGGAGACAGGGATGAATGAAACAGTTCATGTGATCAAGGACTTTTGTGTGTTTGTGGTCACATTGTTTTGTTTTTTTCTTTCTTTATACCATTAACCACCTTGACGTAACAGTTTCCTGCTCCTGATGCATTTTGTTCCGACTCTCACCACTCTTAGCTGCAATATTTTTTTCTCCTTACAGCAACAGTTGAGCATAGTGTCCAGTGCTGCTTCTTCTTCTGCTTAAAATATCCTTGCTTGAAAGTTCTTGAATGAAAACACAGGCAATGACGAACACAAACATAAATAATAACTGTGCCAATCATCACAAGTACCATTTGATTGTGGTGTCTTAACCATATTTTTTCCTATGGCGTTTGGATAAATACCTACACACCTCTCTTCACATCCAGCACACTCCTGATTCACAGATAAACACAATATCACTGCTGTATCTACCAATTTAACCCAAACAATCGTTATTACTGCTGCATTTACCAATTTAATCTAAACACTCGTTATCATTGCTGTATTTAACCAATTTAATCTAAACATTAACCAAAACAATTACATTCCTATTTACCACCCTTATATTTAAACATGTATAGATAACCCAAAATGCCTACTTTCTCTTATCCCTCTTATTTTTTGTTTTTGTTTTGTTTTTTGAACTGCAACCACTCATGCACTTTACACAGACACAAATCAAGCACCTACTGGACAATGGGGTTCCCTCGTTAGAGCCCTCCCACCCCAGTTTGGTTTACACAAAAATACCCCCTGGTCCCTATGGGTCAATTCCCCCCTTTCCCAGGCAAGCATACATACATACATACAACAATAATAATACATAAGGGTTTCAATTGCAATACAATCACTAGAAATAAGAGAACAGTATGCACAAAATCATAGCATAGACATGTTAAATAGACAATAAAATAAAACATTCAATAGCTCATCAAAGGTCAACATTTAAACACTGGTCTCCATCTGATATTCTATCTGTGTTCCAATGTCCACCCCTGGTTTCTGCTATATCTGAAAAAGGTAAGAAAACAGATCAGGATTACTTTTCCTTGTCACTTATAGCGTATACTGCCAAATCCTTTACTTAGCATATATACACATATAAATACATTCCCTAAACTTTTCATTTTATAAACAATTTGTTCAACAAGGTAACTTTCTTAATTTTCTACTTGGCTCTTAAAATAAACAATCAGCTAATAGCTGCTTTCTGCATCTTCTCTGCAATTCAGGAAACACATTTCTAGCCAACCTAAACATGTTTAATAACTCTCCACCCTTTGGTTAAATTATAGAGGAGTGAACCACAACACCTCTTCCGCCTCTGAAAGGATATAGGTCAATATGTCTCAAAGTTCAACACTTCTGACAGCTATGAGTGACTCCCTATTCATTTCTAGCCTTTCCATGGACATGCTTGCACCTCGCGGCTAAGGGCCTGCACAACTAACCACCCTGTGATGGCAGTGGCTTTCCGCATGGGGGTGACCGCCCCCGCAAAATTATAGAGGAGCAAACATACAGCAGCCTCTTTTCCGGCTCGATTAAAGGTTCTGGGCCAATATGTCTGCAATTTAACCAGTACACTCACGTATCACTTATTGTATATTTCCTGGTCTCTCAGGAATTTCTATTAAATAGTGTATCCCCTTCCCAGGGCAATATACAACAAAAACTAGTCACCAAGGGTCTCTATGGTCATGATAGGCCACCCTACCACTAGTGTAATACGCCCTTTTTTTTAAAATATATTTCCTGGTCTCTCAGAGATTTTGCCTATCCCTTTCCCAGAGCAATATATATAAACAATTACAAATAAGTTACAAAACGCTACTTATAAGTAATACAGGGTTTCAAATAATAATACAGGATAGAACTGCACAACAACTATTGGGTATGCTCCCCCTTATCCGGACACGTTTAAATACCCCCTAGCTCAGGTTCCCCACCCGCTACTGTAACTAAAATCACAGCCCACGTTATGGAGGTTCACCCGCTAGGCAGATACACCCTAATTCAAAGCATGGAAATATTAAAATCAGTTATAGATGGCTTCTAAAATAATATAAATCTTAATCTGAGCCCCTACACTTACTTTGTTAAAAATGCTAACTTGTTAAAATATTCAGACTAAATAGGACAAAGGAATTATTTTACCATTTTTCAGTTCATTTGTTACCAGTTCCTGCATATGTCCAGTAATTCCTTAGTCCTGGATAATAAAGCTGAAAAACACTCCACAAATTGATTAGCTTAGGCAATTACATTTACAAAACAATGCAGTTTATTTTTTCTCATACAGGCAAGACTACCCACCCCCAACAAGGACAAATTCTCCCCCAGCTGTAGCTGAAAAGCATGGTCACACAGCTGTTAAAAAGGTGGTCTCTCCTTCATGAGTCAAAATCATATATATTTATACTAATATTCTGTGTATACGCACACATAAATCTATTATTCACTGAATCTGCTTTACTAAACGTATCTTTTTCTTAACTACTAATTTAATACATTTTGTCCAAATCTCTTTTCAACTAGACAAATCCATGAATACCAAACAAATGTAAATTAGTACACAAACAGGGTCAAATTTAGCAATAAAACCTGGTGAACTAGTTTAGTGAAAAGTCTTTTCCTATGCAAATGAAAGCAAACAATGAAACTAGGCCTCAACTCATTCACACCATGTGGTCAATGGTGGATTAAAATCCACATGGTCAGACAAAAAGTAAAATTGTTTTTTGTTTTATATATAAAAATGACCAAAGGTTGGTAAAACGTAACAAGCAACACAATAATTCATCACTATGTTCTACAACAAGAGATACCTTAAAAACAAATATCTAATCCCTATCTGCTATCTGCATTCATTCCATTAAAACCAAATCATCATTCATTTATTCATTTGTATACAGACAGACAATTTACAGTATGATTTAAGCAAAATGCATAACATTTATATTTTCCCCAATATTCAAGCATAATCCTGCCGACTACGCCAAATGTTGTGGTCCTGACCTAAATATGAATATTAATCTCTTAATACATAATAATTAAGCAATACAGAACAACATTAATATTTTTATAATTCATGGTATTATGGTCGAATATGTGGATAGAAAATACACAAAACGTTGTAATATTAAATGTATATTTTATATAACTATAATAAATAAACAGATGCTAGCAGAATGCCAATTTACTACAATAATTATACAATACAATACTACAACAAAAGGTTTCTAAATGTTACACAAAAGGCTATTACAGTTGCTATATGTTACAATGGATTCATATTACTTACAAGGCCCCAGCCAAAGGGCTGGGGCTAGGTCATGTCCAGGAAGTAGGAGGGTCTGGGAGGGAGGGTCTGCCGGAGATTGGCAGGGATGTGTCAGCTGACCGGAGTTCGCCGCGAACGGTTCGTGGCGAACCGTTCGCGGCAAGTTCGCGAACGGTTCGCGACATCACTATTGATAAATTTTACAAATGTAAAATTTACTTGTACTTATAGCCCTATAACTTGCAAAAAAAAGCTAAGAACATGTTAACTTTGGGTATTTCTATAAACTCAGGACAAAATTTTTAAATGATTTAGCACGGGTGTATTTTTAGCGATTGTAGATGCGTAACAGATTTTGGGGGTCAAAGTTAGAAAAAGTGTGTTTTGATTTTTTTTACATTTTTTCATCATATTTTATAAAAAAAAAAAATTATAGTAAATTATATGATATGATGAACATAATGGCAAGAAAACAGTATATAATATGTGTGGGTACAGTAAATAAGTAAGAGAAAAATTACAGCTAAACACAAACACTGCAGAAATGTAAAAACAGCCCTGGTCCTTAACGGTAAGAAAATTGAAAAACTGCCTGGTCACTAAGGGGTTAAAGAGCAAGTGCTTCTGTCTCTAAGCATATGGATGGAAAACAAACCATGCAATAATGTTACATAATATGACAACCTTTTTTTTTCGTACAAAGCAACTAACGCCAATAAATCGGTTTAACACACTTCCCATTTTATTAATAATGTAAGATAAATTGGAGGATTAGAAGAACTATCATTGGCAGACCTAGGGTACATGAAGATTTTTACCAGATATTTGTGGAATTTATGTGTCGACTTTAGAGTGAGTGGAAAAAAAGTTTGAGAATCTTACATGATTTCTCTGTAATGTTTTCTCCAGACTTGAAGAAAATTAAGTTCTCACCAGGCTTCCCTATTTTACCTTGCGCTTTTTTATTTTACTGATTCTATTATTTTTGTTATTGTTGGCTATTTATTTTTCATTAATCTTTCCTTTTACACATTAAGTTTACCAGAGTTTAAATTATCATGTTTCCAGAATGGATTTAATTAGACACTAATGTAATTTATTAGATACCTCACAACTAACAAAGAGTCATTGATTTAGGTTATGGTGTTTGTTCAAAATTCATGATCTAGAAATGTGTTCATTCACCGATGTTCTTAATATATTTTTGTGACAGAACCATCTGTCTGCTGGATTTTTGCCCGTTCGTCTGTTTGTCCCCGTTCGTATGAATGGCTGGTTTCTATAGCCCAGCCATTCGAATGACTCTTTTTCCCGAACAAAACCGCCGAACGAACGGCCACCCAAGTGAGGAGTGTGCTGCAGGTTAACGAAGTGATCACCATTATACGTTGTGGTTAACCGCAGACACTTCTCAATTAAACCGAACTCAGGGTGGTCGTCGTTCGTATGTCGACCACGAGGCAGCGGCCATTTTAAATCATGCGAACGCTCAGCGGTGTTTGGCTCTATTTCTATGGAACGGAAAACGGACACTTTTTCTGTCGAACACCGCTGAAACAAGGGAACGCCTGGCTGCCTCCACGAAAGCATGCGAACATCGGCCGTTCGGGAGATTGAGAACACACAAAAGACTTAACCCAGATAGCCCACCCATGGAGTCATTCGTGTACCGAAGGACTGTAAGAACTTTGACTCCATGGCGATTGAACTATGTGTGTGGGATCTGAGCGCTATTCGCCAATAATATGCACTCAGATCCAGGCTATCTGGGGACATGTAATACGAATGGGAAATGTTCAGTTTTCATGTAGTTATGCATTTTTGTGTCTTTTATTATTTCATGTTTAAGATGGCGACTGTCCTTGTCCTGGAGTTAATTGAGTTACTTGGTAATTAACTCCAGGACAGAGGGGAGGGAATCAGAATGTACTGTGGGTAAAATATGTGACTGTGTGTCAGAAATGTCCTGCTATCTGTCTGTACTTTAAGTCTTCCATTTGGTCCCCTAGGGGAGTGTCCACCAGGTGGGAGACCTGCATAAATACGGGCAGGTAGCCCACAGTAAACCCAGATCTTATTTGACCCTCAATGCGGAGCTTCTGTCTCGTTATTGGGGGGATTTCTTCTTCACGTTTAGAGACTGCTGGATGGAACGAAAGCCGCTTTGGGGATATTATTGTTCGACGGTTCCTAGCAGTTCGTATATTGCCGTTCGGGAGTTTGGAGCCGTTCGTGGATTTCGATCGGGAGATTGCCGCTTCCCCTGCATTTGGTTCGTGGGTTACAGAGTAAGCGAACAGAGACTGTACTGCAGCCGGGGAAGGTTTACTAAACGGCGGTTTGGCTTAAAGACACGGGAGGTGTCTTAACAATTTT